AACATCTTCTAACATTTGATTCAAATATATCACTGACGTCTACAATATACTCCATCTGCAAACAACATAAAACTATTAATTAGCAACCTAAATGAAGTTAAGTGACAGTATGTAAACCAAACTGCAGACTGTTAAACACAGTGCAGGTTGTTCAGTCTAACATCACAAATTTAAACAAATTGAATCAAATATGAAAAAGATGCACAAAAAGTCAGTAAAAGAGTTGGCATCAGTTTTTACAAGTTAAAAAGAGCTTGAGAAGTCATTCTGAACAATCCTTAGGGAGTCCAAGAAATATCTTTTATGGTTTTAATGAATTTTTAAATGTGCAAAAGAAATATAAATGTAGGGATGATTTCCAGCAAACTCTAAGTTCAAAATCGGGCTCAATTTACTAATTTCATTGCACCACCAAGGTTGAGACAACTCCAAAACCACCACCAAAACTGCCCCACTCCGGTTGCTATAAGTTTAGAAGATGAAGTCCAATGATATGCCCACTAAGGATTAACCACAAAGGTCACAGTGAAGTGGTGAGAGAACCAAGAAGAAAGTCTCACAAAGAGAGAAATTCGGCACACACTTATGGAGGCCGAGAGAGAGAGACGGGAATATAAGCCAAGTAAATGTCCAAAATAGATAAGTTAGGTTAGGGTTAAGTTATGGACCAAACAAGGCTCGACTCAATATTAATGGGCTTCAAATTAATAATATGGCCTTCCAAGGAAATGGGGCGAACCGTGAGCAACACTATTTACAATAGGTTGCTTCGAACGGTCCATACGAATATGGATTGTGTTGTCTCGATAATTGTGTCGATGTACTAGTCAATCATATGGCCAAGGCCGATTGATACTAAAACCGAGGTTACATCATAGCCCGAGGAGGTCGTTTGACAACAAATTGCCTAACAATAAGCTTATTGGCCAAAACATATACAAAAAGTATGCTGAAGAATGTTTACTTTGCAGGCAATCAGGACCTTTGAAGCTCACCTCAAATCTTTTTCGTTTCAACGCGAATATACAAGTAATTCGTTACTATTCTAGAAACAGCTAATGCACAAACAAATCTATTTAGGAGGATGCTACAAGTACATTATGGGCTACATGGACACCCGGCAGCCCTCTATTGGAGGGGGTCGGTGGGCCATGGACACCCGACAGCCCTCTATTGGAGGGGGCGCCTGGCCCACCGACACCCCCTCTAGGGGGCCGTCGGGTGTCTATTATGGACACCCTTATGTAGCCCATAATGTACAACAAGAATTATCCATCTATTTATAGCTAACTCTTGTTATTATGAGTTTACAGAAGCCTTTCTCCACCAATATTTTTCCCACATTAAAATCTAATTATTGGAAAATGCCTTGTGAAAGAAGAATTAGGCCAAATTCTTTGACAGAAGGCAGTGTGGCGGGATGTGATTGTATGGGAAAGCTAATTGTGTTTTACACAATCCAATGATAAAATCTCACGTGATATCATGTCAAGAATTATGTCATTGTAATATGATTCCTAATTATTTATCGCAACTTATGTGGTAATTATTTTCATTTCAAAATGATCTTGAAGATAAGACTTGATCATTAATTCCACATCTGAATATTGAGTGTGGTTATTGTTTCTCACAAATCCAATTTTTTTATAGGAGAGAACAAAATGCACCAACATTTCACACACTAATTTTAATAATAATGAAAATTTGAAAAAAAAAAAAAATTAAAACTAACACGGCCAAGGAGTTATGCCGACATGACCTATTTTGCACCTCTATTCTATCGAGTATTAGTGTGTCAACCGTCAATTCAAGGTAAGGTGTCAAAGTTACATAGTCAATACAAGGTAAGGTATCAAAATTACATATAATTTATAACGCAACTGTGATCAATTCACTTAAACTCCACATTGAAAGTATAATTTCTCTTTCTCTTGCTCTTTACAATATAGGTATACATCTAAGTCATGTATTTATCATTGCTTTTCTAAAAAGATTATGCTTTCATTTGCCTGCACTACAACACAAAGGCACCCTCCTCGAGTTTTCTAGGCATGGAATCAGTCGTACCTGACCATTTCAATTCATCGAATGCTTTCACGGCCATCGGAATCGCCCTCGACACGTCGGAAATGGGCAACAAACAGTTGGCCAGAAGTGTGTCACTTGTTGTGGTAAAGTAGCTATCCCAGTAATATTGCGGAGGAGGGATTTTATTTACTACCTCTAGATTGATCTCGAAAAGATCTCCTTCTTCTTCTTCTTCGATAAATGTTTGAATTTTTCTGCCACTTCCATATTGTTTTTCAGCATTTTTAGATCCTAAATCCATACTGAAAATCTGTTGCATGCATAGGGAATCCATGAACTAGCTAGTAATTTATATATGGTGCTAATTTCAATTGACTGTGGGGTTGGTGAAAGGTGGGAAGTAGGAGATTTTTCAACAAACTACAACTATCTAAGTGGAAATATTGAGAAGCTGTAATTTTCAAAATAATATATTTTCTAATTTTGGTAGCTCTTCCAAACTGAACCAACGGGGGCATAAAATATGGCACAGATTGCAGAATTTATTAATAAATTAATATAACACAATCGACGTACAAATTAAAACCATAAAGTCGAAACATAAACCTTAATTAACTATTTATTAGAACAGAAGTTATTATTAAATTCACAAATTGAGATAAATTTCTTAAACTGCAATCAACTAATCTGATCGAAACTGAAATTTAAAAATATAATTCTTAGTGAAGACCAACGAATTCTCTCCCAATCCATGACTAGGAGATATGGCAATTAGGTACAATCTTTCCCAACCACAAATTCTTCCTTTTGATTGCGTGCATAGAATGAAGATAGGTCGATTATGAGGATAATTTTTTTTCTTTATAACATTTTTTTTGAAGCAATGAACTATTTATTTCCACTATAAATATCAATAAACATTTTGGAAAGTAACGTTTTTGTTGAAAGAACCATATCTATATGCATGTTTAATATGTTAAACTAGATACGATCTGAGAAGAAAGATGTGTATTTTGTTCTAATATCGAGTACTAACACGGGATGTCAACCATAATTATACATCTTAATTTGACAACAATTTGAGTATCATTTTTCTAAAAATTCATTTTCTCAAAACTAATTTTCAACCACGCATTCTCTAATAAAATAATTTAATACATAAATTGAAAAATATATTATTTTTTAATCACACGCTTTTCAAAAAAATTATTATTCAAAATGAGGTTCTTGGGCTAAAATTTTTTATTCCTAAATCAGCTCCCGAGTGAGAGCAGCAACACCTGTCTTTTCTTTTCTAATACTCTCTTTCTTTTCCTTTTCT